AGCCTGTCTACAAACCGTAAGGGTTGTCCATATGTTATTATGAGAAGATTTTGTACCTTTGAGTATAGTTGTTCTTGACCATTGGTTGGGGAGGGACACTATGGGTTCTGGCCCTACAGCATCCGTCTCCGACCCTTTTCTAGCTAGTTCGTCTGCTGCGTCGTTGCCACGTGAGCCGCTGTGTCCTTTAATCCACTGTAGAATTACGTGGTTGTGTGTACATACCTCCATGAGTGCTTGATGGCATTCATATATAAGCCCTGAGTTCATGTCATAGCTGCTCAGCGCTTGAAGTACTGACATGCTGTCGGAGAGTATTCGAATGGAGTGATTCTTTACTCTTCTCGCTATTATTGCTTCTGCTGCCAACTTGATACCCATACATTCAGCCTGGAATACTGTGTTGTGGTCACCAAGCGGTGTTGATATTCTGATGTTGAGGTCTTCTGAGAACACCCCAGTACCTGTTCCTGAGTTTGTTTTTGATCCGTCAGTGAATACGCGGACCTCTCTGAGGTTTAGTCCTTCGTTGGGATCTTCAAACAATTGTATCCTGTATTTTTTGTCAAAAATGTATTGTTTTGGGATCCTATCCACAGTCGCCTCCAGTAGCGGTTCCTCTTTGACTATCTTGTAAAGGATTTCTGTATGTGGGGTCCTCATGTGCTTCCAAAGGCCGGCTCTCTTTAGTCGCACTGCTGTTGACGCCGCTTCCTGTCTGATAAACAGTGGGAGGGGTCGCAGGTCCAGCATCGCTTCGAGCGCCGCAGTTGGAGTTGTCCTCATGCAGCCGGTCGTCGCCATGCATGCTAGCCTTTGGAATTTGTCCAACTTGTCAGTTGCAGTCGTCAGCTTGGTTCGTGGCCACCAGGCTATCGCACCGTAACTAATCATAGGTCTTATCACCGTTGTGTAAAGCCATAGTGTTATCTTGGGTGAAAGTCCCCATTGTTTACCTACCATTCTACGGCATTGCCAGAAGGTGATAGTAGCTTTTTTAATTTTGTTGTCCAGGTGTTTGTTCCAGTTCAACTTGTTGTCCAGAATTACTCCCAGGTACTTGACATCAGTTGATAATTGTATTTCTGTACTAAAGAGTTTGGGTAGTAGGTAGTTACCCAGTAATCTTTTGTTTGTAAACATTACTAGTTCTGTTTTTGTTGGGTTAACTGTTAGTTCATATGCTCTACACCATCTTTCCACAATCCGGAGTGCAGCTTGTGTGATGTCACAGAGTGTACTGGCATAATTGCCTGTTATCAGTATGGCTATGTCATCAGCATAGCCTATTGTATAGAAGTGTTCTTTGTTAAGGTTGGTGATGAGATCATTTACGACCATGTTCCATAGCAGAGGCGACAGTACTCCTCCTTGAGGGCACCCCTTCGCTACTACGGCCCATGGGGTCTCTTTCGCTGTAGTTCTTATTGTTCTTTGTTTGAGCATATTGCTAATCCAGCTGATCAGCACTTCATCCACTTCGTGTCTTCTTAGTGCTGCTTGTATGCTGGAGAAGTTGGTTTTATCAAAGGCTCCTTCGATATCTATAAAGGTGCCTAGGCAGATTGCCTTGCTTTTAAGGGCCTCTTCTATCTTGCCGACAACGGCATGTAGGGCCGATTCGGTGGACTTGCCTTGGCAGTATGCATGTTGGTTTCCGTGTAATGGAATGTTCTTTAGAGCTCCGTCCCTCAGTTCTCTGTCACATAGCCTCTCTAGCGTCTTCAAAAAGAACGATGTGAGGCTGATCGGCCTGAAGGATTTTGCATCAGTGTAGTCGTTCTTACCTGGTTTTGGTATAAAAATGACTTTTACGTCTCTCCAGCTATGGGGCACATAGCCGAAGGCTAGACAGGCCCGAAAGATGTCAACCAGGTGCCGGGCCAGTGTATCCCCACCCCATTGTAGGAGTGCGGGAAAAACTCCATCTTGGCCCGGAGCTTTGTATGGTTCGAATGTGTTCACTGCCCATTTTGTTTTTTCGTATGTTACTACTTGTTCAGCGTATCGCCAGTTTCGGGTCGATGTGTTGTAGTTCATTTCTTCGCGCCTGTCATCTCGGACGAACCTGCATCCTGGGAAATGTGCTTCCAGTAGGGTTCTTTCCGTTTCTTCAGGGGAAGTTGTGAATGTGTTGTTTGTTTTACGTATTGAACCTAGTTCACTTGCATTTGAGTTCGCTAGGATTTTTCTTACTCTGTTCGCTTGTGCACAAGACGTGATGTTCCCGCAGTAGCCTCGCCATGACGCGGTGCTCCTGAATCGTATGCGTTTCTTTAATTTGGATTTGGCCGTCTTGTAATTTTCCCAGTCCTCATCCGCGCATGTGTTCATTGCTCTATTGAAGTGTCTCCTTACCCTTCTTCGCAGCCTCTCAAGCTCAGGCCCCCACCATTGGTGGCCTTGTCGCGGGGCTGGGTCACTTAATGGGCATGCGGAGTTGTAACTCTTCAATATGTTTGACGTCAGTTCTTTAACCTGTATTTCTATCTGCGCTGTGTCCAGCAGTCTTCCCGGTGCTACCGGTTTCTCCAGGCTCTGGTGTAGTTTGTCAGTGTAAATTTTCCGATCGGTTTTTCTGGGGTTCCGTTTCGGTTGTTGCACTTTGATAACTGTTTCTAAGTTGAATCTTATCCATCTGTGGTCCGAGAGAGATGCTTCTTCGGACACGTGCCAGTCATGGACAAGATTCGCTGCTCCGTCTGACGCTAGGGTTAGGTCTATGATGGTTCTACTCCTTTTATTTACAAAAGTTGGTGTTGTACCTTTATTGAGAATTTGAAGGTTAGTTGTAAATAAGTATTCTGTTAAGTTCTTACCTCTATCATTCGCGAGTTCCATGCCCCACAGCGGATGGTGGGCATTGGAGTCAGTGGCCACGACAATGTGCTGGCCGTTCTGCTCGCAGTGGTTGATTAGCTGTACCATTTCCTGTGGTGGTGGCACATCAATCTCCGCCATATAGACAGAGGCGAGTACCACTTCAGGCAGGCCCGTGGCCGCGTCAGCTAGAAGCTTTACGGCACACAGGTCTCTGGAACAGAATTGTGTTAGTGGCTGTATGTGTAACTTGTTTGAGTAGTATATACATGTCCGTGGTTTATCTGAGATAGTAGTGGATAGTAGCTTACCTCTCAGATGTGAGAGTCCATTTATTTGGCCGCGGGCGCCGATCCACGGTTCCTGAATCAGCGCCACGGCTGTGTCGTTTGCCTCCAACCACTTCCGAAGCTGAACCGTTGCGGTCTGACTGTGGTGGAGGTTGCACTGGATGACGGTACAATTATTGGGCGAGGGGGACACCGCCATCAGCCGATAGCAGTATGTCGTCCTCATCCTCGCTCAGGCAGATGTCTCCCATCGCCGACACACACTCGTCCTCACTATTGGACGCCACCGTATGGCTGGCGACGTCCACAGGGACGGGGGTCAGGGAGGGCCCTTTTCCTTCTCTGGTGAAACCAGTGGAGGTAGAGGGCACCGGGGAGGCATCTGTTTTGTTGGTTGATGTACCTGCCTTTTCAGGCGGCACATCCGTGTACACTCCTCTTCTGGACCTGAATCGGAGGTAGACCGTGCCTAACTGAAAAGTAAAGCGCCGGCCATGCCCCACGATAACAGGTACCAGGTCCTCAGGTAGGCTTACCACCACAAAAGTGTTTTCTTGTTGCTGTTGCAACCTGTGGACAACCCATCTGTGGACCTCCGCCCACTTGTTCTGCCAAGTGAGTAAGTGTCCGATACGGCGCGCTTCCTCCCAATGACCGGGGATCAGCAGTCCACAGACCACCCTCCGGGGAGCCTCCACCCCATTTTTCAATGAGAGGGGCTCCCCGGTGGGCAGCCTGATGGTGCTGATTGCGTCCTCTAGCCATTGAAAGGTGGCATTGTCCTGGCACCACAGCTTTAGGGACCCGTCGCTATAGACGGGTTTACCTCGGAACTGTGGGCCGACGTCCTCCTCACCGCATTCCTCTGCTCCTTGAGAGAGGCGCTCACAAAGGGCCTTCTGTATCATGTCTGATTCAGGGCTCCTTATGTATCCAGTCTTGGCCGAGGTGATCACCGCTAGAAGTTCCGGTGCGGTGGCCTCGGCATACGTTCTTGACTGGGCGGGCCTCTCGACTTTTTGCCTTTTGCGCTCGCCTCTTGGAGAAAATGTCTCGTCAAGACGGGCACGTTTGGCATAGGTCGAGGACCTCTGTGCCTTTTGTGTTTGTTGGTTCCTTGGGGGGAGGGGGGCCCTTCCAGGGGCGTGCGAGTCCGGTTCAGTGGGTCGCACTAACGCGGTCTCTGCACCATTCCCGCCACCCGCTGGGGGCCGCGCCGCTCCCTCTTTCGGATTACCCTTCATCTCGCGGCGTTCACGTTCACGGAGACGACCCCGTTTGTTCTTTCGGGCAGGGCGTCCCCTGCTCCCGCTGGGAGCTGGAGGTGGTCGCTCGCCTTGGCCACTTTCCCCTTCCATATGGATGGGTGCCGTGGTTTTGGGCTTGCGACTCACCAGAGTCCACCCTGCCTCAAGGGCAGTATATGTTGGGTTCTGCGATGCAGAGCCAGGTGTCTGAGCGGGGGCCACAGAGCACGAGGCTCGGGCCGCTACCGCTGGTGTAGGGCCAGCACCGGCATCGGTACGCGGTTGGCCTTGGGGTTTCCCCTTTGGCCTACCACTCACCGTAGGGCGCTGCTGTACGTTCGAGTTTGTGTTTGATGGGGCACTTTTGGGTTTCCCCTCCAGTACCACCGGTTTTGGGTGATTTGGTGATTTTTGTTGATCTGCAGAATCCATATTGCAGTGTTCTTATGATTCACTCTCCTGATTTCCCACCCACCACGGAGCCCGCACCTTTGGGGATGTCCCATTCGGGACACCAGGATTATCAGGAGAGTATAGGTGCAGAGGTTAGGAGCTCACTGCGCGACATCGGGGGCTCGAAATGTGCGGCTGGCTGACCCGATCAAAGTCAGCCAGGTGTTCCGCACATACTCACCCCGTCAGCATGGCCGAGTCCGTCCCCCCCACACCTCGCCTGTGGCCCTCTGACGGGACACATTGCCGTTTCCCTGTGTTGGCTAGTCACAGGGCTACCGTTTGGCAGGAAATCAGGGCCAAAGGGGGCGTATTGCTTGCCGGGGTCCCCACCCCGCTCGGGCTCAACCCCCCAGGATTCCTTCATCCCTGCGTACGGCGCTCAACTGCGTAGGCATGAACGCAGGAGGATGTAAATTAAGACCGCCCACCACTTGCCATGGTCCACCCTCATAAACGCATGGCCGGGCCGTGTTGATCGCTTCGCGCCCTCACTGGTAAGACTCAGACTGAAGCCGAGAGTTGTCAGTGTTGGCCCCAGGGTGTACCGGCTACACCCTTGGGCTTTCTGTGACAACATGTCATCACAGACTGCTCAAGGACTTCGCACGCGTGGAGGTGGAACAACGAACACACCCCAACTTCTACTACTGTCACTGTAATCTTATGGTAAAGACACAGTTGGGTGTATGACTTTCTTTGGTCTGTTTACATAGCTATTTATATGTAGATATATTTAACACTCGTGCTTTTTCCGCGCTTGATGCGCTGTGATAGATATTTTTCTCATATAATGCAAACGTTTATAAAAGTGTCTTCTAGAAAGAATGTCACAAATAATGATACTGACGTCAATCAACGTTGACGTCTTCAAACCTCTCGCTACCGTTGCGCGTGTATGCACAGCGATCATTATTTGTTTGAGTAGAGCTTACTTATCCTGTGAATTCTAGAGCTAGCTAGAGACGCAATATTTTGATATGTTGTAGAGCAGTGATATCATTATTCATATAATGGACAAGTAGCGTTCTCGTGCGTTCTTCGATGAAATAATAGAGATTAAACGATGTTATAATACGTTGTTCTACATCACTTACAAATATGTTTAGGTCGGCATAATATGTACGTAGTTCACGCGATTGTGTTAGAAGTTTTGGGCAGCGGAAAGTAATGGGTTTTCATAATTATTTTGCCAACTGATGGGTTCTTATTTTGAATGTAATGCAAACATAACCAGACTCCACTGTCTTCAAAAACTGTTGATTTATTCAAGCTAAATTTAAGTTTATCTAGCAATTACCAATAAAACTATCTCATACATCCTCATTCAATTACAGAAATAGTTTCGGTTCTGCTATCAATATAACCTCATCTCCAATTTTATCCTATATTTTCTCCACTAGACCTTTCGTCGCTTTTTCAACAAGCGAAACATGGCCCGAGTGGGATTCATTTTTATTGTGTTTCCGGCTTGTGATATTTCATTCTGAACTTTGTTAACATAAGGGTCAACATAGTTGTAAACTTACTTCGACCCATCGTTGTTGTTCCATGGTTGAATTGTAAATAGAATAAGTTTGCCAAGATGCTTTTTATTAGAATCAACACAACATGATTTAATTCACTTTTTGAAAGTATTGATAATTACTGAAAATCAAGTTTTTTTAATTCAAATTGATATTGTAAAATTGTCCAGAAAAAATACATCGGTGTTAAAAATAATCGCAGTTCCGAGTACTAAAAACCCAACCTCAAAAGTCATTCATCCCCTATTTTCAAGGTGGAACATTTTCTTCAAATTGAAATGGGACTAGTACTAAGGTACCCTCTTTCCGACAAAAAAATTATCATCAAATTCGGTTCACAAATTTCGAGTTGAGTTATCGCGTAACATACATACAAAAAAAAAAGAAAAAACATTCAGTCGAATTGAGAACCTCCTCCTTTTTTGAAGTCGGTTAAAAATTAAAAAATGAGAGTTGCGCTACCTAGGCGCTACCAGACCATCATCAAGTATTCTATTATATCAGTCTGGGGAAAGAGGTACCAGATATACTAGTACCAATACGTAAGTCACGTTTACTGGGTACCTTATTACTAATGAGATCAGGTGTTGTAATTACGGAATTGTGGCAACGCACACGTTTTCATTTCGAAATGCGTCTGTTTTTGGTGGGATCACGGTGTAACGCGCGGCCTACTGGTAAAAAGCTTGAAGGTGTCCCGCCGGCAGCCCACATGGCCTGCTACAACTTACCCGAGATCAGGCGTGGCGTGCTGTGGAAAAAAAACGCGTATCCCGCCGGCAGCCCACACGGCCTAGTTCCTTAATATCAGGCATGGCGTGCTGTGAAAAAAAATACGTGTCTCGCGCGCTGCCCACATGGCCTGCTACTTCAGAAAAATCGTTTGCTCTATGGCGCTGAGAGTGTTAAGGTGTTACCACATGAGCATAATATTACTTAAGCAAAGCATTGGCATTTAACTGTATTGAAAACTACTGTCGCGGTTGTCACACTGTGTTGTTTGCCGCAGGACGTTAGCTACTACTTATATGGAGCTGCTGAATGTGATACTGTACGCGAATTCATACAAATTTGAAGCCGCCATAACCTTTTTAACCAGCACTCATTGGAATAAGACAGACTGGACATATATAAACTTGTCGTCTTCGAAGTCTTAGCGAAAATTGTAAACACTAAGGAAACTTGACGGACATGCAAATTTTCAAACAAAGTCGTAAGGAAATAAATACTCCAAAAACAGACTATAACTTCAAGTTCATTTTGAGAGCTTAAATCTTTTAATATCCATTGCTTATGTAATTACAGATTTTGATATTGCTCTTCTTCTAAATCCTGTCCAAACTAACAACTAAAATGACACGATAATACGTACTACAGTAACTGTGTAAAGTATAAATTGAACAGAAAAGATAGAACAGACCGGTTTTTTTCCTAGTCGTATACGTCTTCAATCTTATTGTGGCTGGCCCAGAATTGAAGCTTTGGTGTTTACTCCACGAAACTACTCGTATTTTTGATGTGCTACTGTGTGTACATGACAACTTGCGTTTTTTTCTTTATTTTCGGCTCACTGCAATACCTGGAGGTCAATTCTCGTGCGACAAAGCACATGTCCACAACAGAGCAAATGCAAAAAAAAACAAGGCGGATGGATATTTCAAACAGTATTTGATATTGTACAAACTTCACGATAGATATATCGCAAGACAGTACAGATATGTATGTCTCATGCTAAGATCTGTGAAAACCGAGTCTGATGGCAAAATAACAAATTCGATTTTAAGAATCATTACGTTAACACTGAAAAGATGGTACACTTGTCAGCTGTTGATTTTAGTGCAATTTTTTTGTGTCAATTACATTTTGTAGATTTAAATCAATAAAAACGAAAACTGCTTTGATCTTGAGTCTTTAGACTTGTCGTCTCCATAGATGTGGATTTTTTTTTGTGTAGTCAAGGGCTTATCAAAAGCTAGATATTTGCACCATTTTATCGAAACGTAAAATAAAGTTGAATTTCAATCTTAACCGTAAAGATGACGTACTATATTTGACCCTGTAAATTAGATTATAGACACATTAAGATTCGACAATGTTCGAAAATCGAGAAAAAGTCTCAGTGTGCGGGAATCGGTGCCCAATACCTCTACTACAAGTTTCCAGTAACCATTATAGAAATATAACAAATTTTATAGCACCACTAGAGATAATCTCTAGTGGTGATGATATGACAAAATATCATCTCAATTCGTGTACAATATTGAATAATCCGAAATTTCTAACTAATTATCTATTAGCGTAAGTACGATATCGAAAAAACATTAGTTTTTTCGAACATTTCGCCATAAAGCGGAATTGGCGGCGCAATTCTTAATTTTTTTAAATCTGTTGATTAGCATTCTAGCGTGTGTCCGCGATTTTGTCTGCATAGAATAACTACTTCGAGTAGCCTATACTACTATACTATACTTATTACACCCCTTTTAAGATTTAGACAGACGTAGACGGAGACAAAGATGAAGACGAAGACGAAGACGAAGACGAAGACGAAGACGAAGACGAAGACGAAGACGAAGACGAAGACGAAGACGAAGACGAAGACGAAGACGAAGACGAAGACGTAGAGGTAGACGTAGACGGAGTCGGAGACCCTTTCCGAAAAGATGCAAAAAAAAGAAAGGCTCGCATCAGGTTGCACTGACGCGTGTTTCGCTCGCTCGCCATCACTTGGGTATGAAAATCCAAAAAGGTCATGCGCACAGTGTCTATTTACCCAAAACAACATATTGTATACCAATTTTTAAATAATGCATTTTTTATGATAGGTAGGCTCGCCATGGACCCTCAGCGTTCATTACACGGACTTCTTAGGGGTCCATGTACCACAGATCAGTAAACCCTGTCCTAGCTCCTTTCTATCTATATACCAATATTCATCAATATTGGTTCAGCGGTATAGGCGTGAAAACGTAACAGACAAAGTTACTTTAGCATTAATAATATTAGTTTGGATATAGTCAGTGTTGTGTTGGTAAAAAAAAGTTGATTCGCCCTTACTACACAACAGAATATAATGGGTATACTTCTAAAGGAATAATACTACAATAAAACCATAAAGAAAATGTAATAAGTAATACAAGTTGTCGCCCCAAAAGGGACACTAAGTAATTCTCACCGCGTCTAAGGGAACCCAAACATAAACAGAACTTTGTTATATTACAATCTAAAGGTGTGTGAGTCTGTAAGTTTGTTACCGAAGTACTCTCATAGAATATGGCATAGTCACGAACAAGAGTTTATTTATTGAGTATTTTGCAATCAGAATGCAGCTCATCTAGCGCCACCCTTAAATGACATAGTCTAGGTGTAATGAACCTGAGCCCTCTGAAAGATCACAAATTTATGTATTGTGATGCAGGAGGCAATAGACTTTGGATAGAAGTTAATAAAAGAAACTTTTCAGTGAAAGATTTGCAGTATTTTATTGAATATCTCTAAATATTTTTATTTTACTAGTCCCGCACTAGGGAAACCCTGTACCGCGGGTGTCATGTACACATTAATACACAAACACAAATTACACTCAAACTCACGGTAAAAATACATGTAAATCATACGAATATTTCTCCCGGCCCGAGAATCGAACACGAGCACCTCCACGTGGCAGACTAGCATGGTAACCGTTCGACAACGGAGGCAGTTTTTTGAGTTTATTAAAGATAGCAAACAATGATTAGATGTGCAATAATAACTTATTTCAGGACCGAGATAAACTAGTTAACCCTTCAAAAACATCCGTAGCTATTACCTATTCGAAAACTTGGTGAATCTGAATTGACACCACATAAGCAAGTTAGTATTGCGAGGGGTGCGGCAAGGCGGTCGATACGCCCGCCCGGCCTAGCGTGACCCATGACGCTCGTCATTCCCGGGCCTCGCGGAGGACTGCGACCTCTGAACATCAGAGAGACATTAAACATTGGAAATTACTGCAGAGGGCGGAGATTCCAGTTTACAACAAGGAGTAAAGACTAATAAAGGCTTTGAAACATCGAAAAGTAAGCAAATGTCTGTTTTTATAGTCATTGAACGACGGTAACCACTTTTCGTTCGACCGTTTACCGGTTTGTGTACCATAAAAGCGACGAAATGGTTCTATTGACGTACTTCAACAAAATCCCTGCAGCATTCATTCTCGTTAAATAATCTGAATTTCTTAAATATTATTTTATTGAGTCATTTACCACGACTAAACGAAGACTGACTTCACAGGCCAGCCATTTTGTGTTATTACTGTGAACTTGACCTACAAACGTTTTGGATAATTAAGTTGAAGTTCACAATATTAAGACTTAAGTCAAGAAATATTTTTCAACAATTACTTTTTGCTTCTAATCAACCATACAAGTCATTTCAAACCGAACTTTATATCAATGTAAAAACAATTGAGAGAGTTAACATAGCTAAAGTAAAGAATAACGTGGACAGTCCCTTTAACAAATCCCGGGACTTTTCGGAAACGATTATAATGCAATATTTATAGAAATTTGAGTATATTGGCGATAAAATATTATTATAAAAGATTGTCTCAAAAAATCATATTGTAGTTGTGTTTTATAGGTATTTACGTATTGAAATGCTTGAGCCATCTAAAACATAAGCACGAGACCCGAGAAAATAAATAGCAAAAAGAACGCATTTTATGCGTGATGATGACGAAATGTGTTTAAGTGGCAGTAGAGCACCTTGTGAAAGAGTTCGTCCAGGGAAGTACTGCCACCTTACCTGTTTTTGCCGCCAAGCAGTAATCTCAGCGCATTACTGCGTTCCAGTTTTGAAGGGTAAGGGTGCTGGTAAAATTACAGGCACATGGGACTTGTCAACTTATGTCTCAGCGTGACGGGCGCAGTGGCAGTGCCTCTCAGATCTTTGCGACTTAAAGCTCTGAGTGGCACTGCAGCTATTATGGACAGGCGTGTCGCTTTCCACCAAGTGCACAACTTGTTCGTCCAGTCACTTGGTATCATAAAAAAAAAATATCCATACTAAGAAAACGTTCATACTTACGGTAAATTAAGTCACTCAATTCCGATCACTGGTAATAAGAGTGAAAAGACGTCTTTTACGCTCTTATTGCATGGATATAAATCTTTTTCGGGCCAATTTATACCGTAGTTAACAAGTGTAACTGCCTTAGGTATAGCACACAAAGTTCCATTTAACACGGACTTAAAAAAATTACAATACGTGTGTTATAATATAATTTGAATAAAAATTTTCATTATTATGTATTGTAATGCAACCTATTTTTTAAGAAAAGTTTGATTTGTAAATAAGTCATACCAGGAATGGAACCCGGAACCTCCTCATTTAGCGCTCAGATTGCAAACCTCTTGGACATCGAAATCATGACACATAATATGATATTAAATCATTCTTAACCCATTTATAACAATATGAGATCAAATGAGTTATTCACCCGGGTCACAAAATAAATAACAGAATTATTCTATCCAATAACAAGAATAACTGTTTGTGCGTACCTATAACAATTTCACTAAACTTTTAACATACAAAAAATACAAAATACAAAATAATTTATTTTACAAATGAACTTGTGCAGGCACATTACAAGTTAGTTACGACAAAAAACCAGGTAACACTACTCAATTGTAGCGTATATATCGCGTACAGAGAATTTCCTACGATTCCTGCACTAGGCAAAGCCTGTCTCGTAGGTAATCGATAAAAACATTGTTACTGTTTATTATTATTAAAAAGTTTTTTTTTTTTTTTTAAATTGTACATATTATTAAACACATTATCAAACAAACATATTATCAAAAATTATTATTATTATATAATACATTATTTTATTTTATCTTATCATATTTTTATGTTATTATATTAGATTATATATATATTGTATAATGTATAATATTCATTCTATTTTTAATTCAATACCAATTACCTTATATATACATTTTTATAGGATGAGTATGTGTCTTTATGGCATTGTGTGTGTATATGTGTGTGTGTGCGTAAGTGCGAGGGTGCGTGCGTGCGTGTGAGTCGGTGGGTGTGTGCGTGCGTGCACGTGTATGGATTAAGGATTGAGGCAGTGAACTAGCGCACCTCCTTTAGCAAGTCCTCTATTTCATTGTATGTCAACGTGCGTAGCAACTTATTGACCTATTATTATACGTATCATCTGAAAAGAAAACATTCTATAATACAAATAGACACTGAATGCATAATGAAATAGGTACCAAGATTCCTTCACAATATATAATGAATTACCAAATAATATAAATGCCATAGATACCGATAGGAATATTGGGAAATATCCGAAGGCTCTTAATAAAGTAGTTGTCTTCCCCTCGAAGAAAGGACGCCTGAGTAATGCGACCAAACTTTACGAGGACAGCGAATATTAATAGGACATCGTTATTGTCACGGAAAGTACATGACACCTGGTATATTGAATAAAATATCAGTTGTTCGTGAGGATACACGTGCGGGTATAAGTATATAGCATTTCAAGCGTATTTTACGTACTTTTTGGTATATTCCTGTGGTGAGATTATTCTCAAAGAAAACTCTAGTTGCTAAATCGGAGATTTCGACGGAAAGTTGGTTGTGCATTAATCAATATGAAATAACGCCAACATATTGTTACACTCGACCATGATTTTTTTTTAAATATCTAGTGACGGCACGAAGAATCGTGCACCGGGTGGTAAGCGACGCGCCTGTCCATAACAGTTGCAATGCTATCGGAGCTTTAAAACGAAAAGATCTTAGGGGCAATGCCACTGTAGACGCCCTGAGGTATAAGTCGACAAGTCCCATGTGTCTGTTATTTCACCAACTCCCACACCCTTCAAAACTAAGGGAAGGCGGCAGTTCTTCTCTGGACGCTCTACTACTGCCAAATTGATTAAAATTAATTACTCAAAAATAACTAACAAAAATTATGAAAAATCACTGGTTTAGTGTTATTTCCATATAATAACACTGTAATGTAAAATAATATAAAATAATAATAACAAAAAAACCAATAAATAGAATAGTAGAAGTCATAAATAATTCGCCTGCAATTATGAAATTAAATTAATTTAATTTGTGTGAAATTTTTGATATCCAACAATTTCATGTACAGTAATTAATAATGGTATCACAATATTGTATCATCAATATTAGCTCGACTGAAGGATTTCTTATCCAGGTCACGCAATAAATAAAAAAAAAAATTGGTATACAAGAAAACCTCATGCACATAATTTCAAAATTAAACAATTTTTCGGATTTACTTCACGTATGTTTGTTTTTTTAAACAAGCCAATGTTTTGAATCCTCCTTTCGGAATGTTGACGCCACTCATAGAACCCGACACATTGGTTTATTTAAAAAAAGCAACTATTTATGCTATAAATATGTATGGTGGCAGTACTTCCTGGACCAACTCTACTGTTACTAAAACGTGCTCTCGACTGTACAATAAGGAATGTTTGAACAGTTAAACCATTACAAACTGACGCACTGTCGATAGTTACCCACTTAAATTTACGACATTTGGATCAATTCCAGAAACTGTCGAATTAATGGTGGCTCTACAGGTCACGCAGGGTGCAGATGTGCGATTGGTTCGGATTTACGACGGTTATTGTAGGGTCGCCACTTCGATTTCGATTACTGCTG